TTTTGCTTGCTTTTTCTCTTCCTCTTTGAGCACTTGGGCACCTTGAAAAGCTTTGTCTTCAGTGTCAGAGATCCTTTCTTCTACCTGCTCAATTCTGTTAGTGAGGGATTCTACCATATTTTTCAGATCTCTGAAGACTGCAAACTCTTGCCTCAATGTGTCAAAAATTTTGGTCATTTTATCTTTGAAATCCTTGAATTCTTGAGACATCTTTTGAATAATTTGAAATTCTGATTCCCTCCTTTCCTCCATTCTGTTGATCTGATTTGCTATCCAGATTCTGAACTTGATTTCTGACATCTCAGCCATCTGTTTATGGATGGGGTCTTCAGTTGTATCTGCCATGTTCTTCCTTGGGGACATGGACATCTACTCTGGTTATTCATGTTACCGGAGTTTCTCCACTGATTCTGCCCTATGCTTAATTTACACTGTTTGGCTTTTCTCCTAGAGCTTGGCCAAGGACCTGTACCATGCTATGGCCTGAGAAACTGGGGGCTAAGTCACTCTGTCTTGTTTTCAGCTTGTTTTCAGTGTAGTCTGTTCTACACTAGTAAATTAGTTACTCTGGTTTGAGGTCTCAGCTATGTAGAAATACCAACAAATAATTCACCCTGCCCCCCACAGACAACAATTGGAAAATGAAAATCATACCTTCCCACAACCACACACCCAGAATAGCACTTTGGATAGACCTTGGGTGATTGGCCCAGTTCAAGAGATCCAAATCAATTGTCCCAGTCAGCACTGGTCTCAGGTGGAGGAGTTCAAAAGGTCTCTGGCAACTAGACAGCAGGGGTCTCCTGGCAGCTCAGGTATGACTGGCTTGGTGCTCCGTGAGGTCAGAAGGACCAACCCTGCAAATAAATTAGTCTGGGAAGGTTTGATGCCTCTTTCCCACTTTGCACCTCTGTCACACCCAGTCATTGGTAACCCCAGTGGAGCTGGGGCTGTGACTCAGTTCACCCCAATGGGCAGATGCCCCAAGGGTTTACACCTGCCTGAGTCAGAGAGAGATCTATGTCTCTTCACCCAGGTCTCTGTTCTCAGCCACTATCTGGTAGGGGGAGGTGAGGCCTGACAACCTTGGGTGCTTAATGGAGGTGGGGCAGTTCACTCCGTTGCAGGCCCGCACCTGATTGATGTTGCTGGCAGAACAGCGTAACTTCGCAGAGTTTGTTTCTGTCCTGGTTATTAGATGCTGCTTGAGGTGACAGAAACCACAACTCAGCTCTGGGCAGTGGCAGGCAGTTGGAGCTCACCCCGAGCTGTCAGTTCCTACTTCTGCCTGCCCGCCTTTGTCTCAGCTGTGATCCCCTGGGGACCAGGTGCATCTCAGCCTCAATAACGCAGACCTCTGGCTCAGCCCCTCCCTGGAAGTCTGCCAGCTCTGCACATGCGTGTTCTAGTCTTCACGCTCCTTTCCTCACGTCTCTGATCCGTTTGCCAGTAGCTGCCACTGGAGAAGGTGCCTGGCTTCCTCTGGTTGCCCAGAGAGACGGGGTGTATCTGTCTGGGATAGCTGCCCCAGGGGCATGAGCCTTATTGTTCCCACCACTGCTGTTGTTCTACACCTGAGGGCACTACCACCACTCCTGTATGGTTCCCTCTCAGCTGACCAACCTCTCCTTATTCCCATGCCACAGAATCAGCACAGCCAAGCAAGGGTCCTTCCCCTGTCCACACCTCTTGAGAAAATGCCCAAGAATCTGGACTCCATGGGGGACAGGCTTCCATGGGGTGAGAGTGGAGGGGTGTGCTGGGAGTTCAGAGTTGCAGGTAGAGAATATATACAGTTTTATACAGTTTTATGCCTGGTAGGAGAGTGCCATGGCACCCTAGCACGGGTAGGAGGTCCAGTGTTTAGAGGGTCTCTCCTGTAGGATGGAATGGGAGGACTTTGAACTCTGCTTGCTTGTTTGTATGGAGTTTACTGTGAGTCCTTCTCATGGGGGAGGGAACTCCCATCTGCTTGGCGATGGATTCAGTACCTTTTGTTTGTATCTTTGGTGTTGCAACTCGCCTCAGCAGGGTTGATATGCGTTCTTCAACCTTCTCTATTGGCTCAGCTCCAAACCATCAGCTTATTTGCTAAAGTTCTGTCTTTTAACTCTCTTTCTGGACGGGAGCCTCTGTGGAAAGCTGGCTGCAGTCTGCCATCTTACCTCTGCCCCCCAGCTATTAGTTTTCTTATTGTAGAGTTTGAGTCCTTTGTACCAACTATATGTTTTGCAAATATTTTCTCCCAGTGCGTGGTTTGTCTTTTCAACCTCTTAGTAATAGCTTTTGCAGAGAAGAAAATTCTAATTTTAATGGATGTTGCTGTTAGGGTCTTACAGAGAAGTGGTGTCGCGGATCATGAGACCTGCAATTGAAATTGTATGTTAAATAAAGGGGTCCACAGCTTTCTTAGGCATGTGACAAGCTTCTTTATTTTCTCCTGGCTTAAATAGCTAGCTCTGCACATGTGCACTATACATCAATGACATCATCAATAGCTCTGCACATGCACACTGCACATCAATGACTTCATCAATATTCATTATAATCTCATGAATAAACATCTTGTGACTATCTTGTGAGCAGATCCTCCCTAGTAATCTAGGGATTAACAGATGCCATTTTATCTAACATAATCCTTTTAACATAACTTAATGGAGAACATGTTGTTAGCTATTACTTCTTTGTTCTTATCTGATGAAGCCTGAGACTCTGGGAGAGAAAGATAGATCAAATATCTGCACTACTGGCCTCACCATTTGGAGGCAGTTACTTCAATCTTTAGGTAAGGAATAGTTCAGAAATTCCTAAGACATACAGAAAACTTGTTTTCAAGCCTCCCCTCCCATGTGGGCCTTAAGTAAGGGGTTTTTTATGCCCACAACCAACCACGCTGACCTTAGGTCAGGGGGGTTTTATGCCTGCAACCAACTTGGCCATATAGGATTCTGCCTTAGTTTCTCATAAGTATGCCTGTACAAAGTCTTTTCATTGCTCTCTTTCAAACAGTTTTTTTGGCTAGAGGCATATAGGGCTTTCACCTATAAATGGAGTCCAACTTAATAGTGTTTCTTCCCTTGGATTATGTTTTTCACATGATATCTCAAAAGTCATCACCAGATCCAAAACCATTTAGATTTTTCTCCTATATTATCTTCTAGAAGTTTCATAATTTTGAATTTTACATTTAGGTCTATAGTTCACTTATGATTTTTGTGAAAGCTGTAAAGTCTGTGTCTAGTATTTTCTTTTTTTTTTTTTTTTTACATATGGATGTCTAGTTCGTCCAGCACCATTTAGTGAAAAGACTATTCTTTCTCCATTGAGTTTTCTTTACTCCTTTGTCAAAGATTGGTTGACTATATTTGTGTGGGTCAATTTCTGAGCTCTCTATTCTTGTACATTGACCTATTTGTTTAAATTTTTGCCAGTATCACATTGCTTTGTTTACTGTAGCTTTATAGGAAGCCTTGATGTTGGGTAGTTTCAGTTTTTTGACTTTGTTCTTTTAATTTCTTTTTTCCTTAAGAGTGGGCAACACTTTCTTGTTTATTTGTATGATTAATAGTTAATAGGCATTTTTTTTAAAGCCAGACACTTTGAACATTATCATGAGGTGATAATGCCACTGCCCAGAACCAGAGTTGTGGTTTCTGTCACCTCAAGCAGCATCTGATAACCAGGACAGAAACAAACTCTGCGAAGTTATGCTGTTCTGCCAGCAACATCAATCAAGTGCAGGGCTGCAACTGAGTGAACCGCCCCACCTCCATTAAATCAATTTCCTTTTCCTTTCCCAGGGTTCATTATTGTTGCTTGTTGTGGCTTGTAGTTTGTTTGTTTTCCAACTTTTCTAAACTATTTTTGTAAAGGCTGTGTTTCTTGTCATGTGTGGCCATTCTGTTAGCTAGTGACTTGAGATTTTCTTAAACACTTAGAGCAAAACTTGAGGTTAGCTAGTGACTTGAGATTTTCTTAAACACTTAGAGCAAAACCAAGAAACAAAACACCAAAAACAGAAACAAAAACAAAAACTCTCCCAGTTTTGCAGATGCGCTCTGTGACAAGCACTTTCTCACT